GGGGGGGGGGGGGGCGCCTGGTACAACTGCGGCGGCGGTGCCCTCCCGTACTGTCCGGGAGGGGGGGCTCCGCCGCCTCCTCCTCCTCCGTCCTGGAATTCGTTGTAGGATGGCGGAGGCGGCATCTGCGCATTGGCCTCTTCCTGCCGGTCCTGGCTGTCCACGACTACTTCGTCCTCGGCGCAAGGCTCGTCCTCGGGGAGCCCTTCGAACGCCTCCGCCAGCTTGTCCCTGGCAGCCAAGACAAGGCACGGAGGAAGTTAAAAACACGGTGTCAAAATACATTGTTCCATAAACGTGTATGGCGGGCACGATATCACCCAGGCGTTGTACTGGTGTGTACGTGCAAGACGATGCTACCAGCGCGATTGACGAGGATGCGGAAGTATCGCGCGTCGTCCCAAGGAAACCGCTCGCTTGCGCCATGCAGCACGGGAATCTTCTCGCTTGTCTGATCTCACCCGGGGTGCACGGGGTCAGAGGAGCACAGCCAGGTGAGCACGGCGCGGCGGAACTTTCCGCTGGTCTCGGTCTTGAGGGCCGCCACAAGGCTCTCCCCGTAGTTGGTGAGGAAGAGCTCGGCGATCTTTTGGACCGTCGGCTTGTCATTGCCGCCGAGGACCCTTGCGATCGTACTCTTGTCGGAAGAGATGCCCTTGAAGGCCGTCTTGAGCAGGAGGGCGTAGTAGGCGATGGGGTCCTTGATCATGGCCAGGAGCATGGTCTCGAAGCTTCCCGAGCACTCCTTCTTGATGGCCTTCTCGAGCGACATGCCGTGGTTGCGCTCGTAGTACTGGCGGATTAGCTCTATCTGCGGGCGGGAGGCCTGCGTGAGAATGCGGATGAAGGTCTTCTTGTCGGTGCCGAGCCTCTTCCCGATGCCCGCGGCGTGGAGCTCCTGGGCCTGCTGCACCGCTAAGCCTTCATCGACGACGTCCTCCTGCCTCTCCCCCCGGATGAGAGCCAACACGACGTCCTCCATGGCGCCGCTGAGCTCCGACTTGAGGCGGTCGATCAGGGGCTTGGGGTACTTCTGGTCGTGGCGGGCCTTTGCGGCAAGAATGCGGGCGTTGCTCAGGGGGGCGAGGGTGGAGATAATGAGGCCTTCGTTAGTGCCGAGACCGTCCATGGCTTTCTTGAGCATCAGGGCGTCGAAGTCGGCCTCGGGCAGCAGCACGTACGACAGGAAGTCCCTGTTGCCATTGGCAGCAGCAACAAAACACACCAGCAGAGAACAATTGATTAATCGATGAAGGGGGGCTTCCGCCAACAGCAAAGGAAGCGTACAGTCGTTCAGTTCAGTCCCTGCAAAAGGACACGTCATAAGGAAGAGAAAACATGAAAGGGTTGCGGCGGATCGTTGCGGATTGTTGTAGGCTGAGCAAAACCTTGCAGCCGCCAACAAAAGGAGATACAAAAGAGAAACCGAGACCGAATACGCCCAGGCTACTGCTCATGGTCGAATTGACTCTAACAGCTATCTGGTGCGAGG